TGTGTGTGTGTGTGTGTGAGTGTGTGTGTGAGTGTGTGTGTGTTAGTGTGTGTGTATATATGCGTGTGCAACCATGCGCCTGTTTGTTTGCGCACATGTTCGATTTCACGTACGTCTGATTTCTATCTGCATGGCGCCAGTGCAGTAGGCAGAGGTGACACGCTGCGGAATAATAATTCGCTTCTAGTATGCACATTATTGTCTTTTTCAAAATCAAAATTCAGGTCTATTTGAGGTCTCCCTTCCTTAAACAAATTAAAATCGTCCTTCACTCATTAAATGTCACGTGTTTACTCCCCCCACCCCCGCCCCATGTTGCTCCCACAGAGATTGGAGAACCCGGATTTGTGTTGTACGTCAAGTAAATTTCAAATGGAGACCTCAAAGTCAAAGGGACCTATAAACCAGTTTTGTTAGCATAGTTTAGTTTAGCCTGATAATCATTCCAGTCTTCTTTGTTCCAATAAAGTGGAATTTATTTATTTAACTGTCTATTTATTTACTAATTTATTTATTGAACACTTTTATCAAGCGAGCACCACTGCACAGAATGACAGATGAAAAATGTTCTGAAATAGCAATGTAGAAACAACCGTGGTCTTGGTGAGAATCGTATAATGCTTGCAAATGCTTTATGTCCCCCTTGACGTTATTTAAGTCATTTAGACAGCGGGCAGCTTCTACCTTGCCTCTCAGGGTCAACTTTAACTAAATGATGGGGTAGCATCCCAGTAGCAGACGGGAATGCTTGAACTCCCCCCCCCCCAATCACCACCACCACCCTACACACAAACATACACAGTTCTGAACTGAACCACTTGCATCTTCTGTTTGCGAAGATTAAGAGCTTGACAACTACCCCACAGATTTATAAATTGTAAGAGGTTTGATAGTGAAACACTTAAGAGTTTTTCTACAGACGTCGGTCATGTTGTTATTTAACTATGTGACTTGCTTGAGAGTTGTCATATATTCTTTTTTCTTTTTCTTTCCTCAGTCTTGTGAGCACCACTTCACTGATTAGGTAAAGCCATAATTTCACCTGTGGTATGCTATGGTGTGTAAGGGCTTAGCGGCACTTTGTACATAGCGTAATAAAGTTACTTAACACATCCACAGGCTGAAAGTTTTGAATCTATCGTTCATCATCGATATGGCCAAATCATGTAGGCAGAAATCCTCGGAAATCTAACCAAAGAACCCAAGTTCAGAATCTTCTGGTTTCGGGAGGCATCTGCACCACCGGACACCAACGATCTTTATGGCACCCCAACCATCTGTTAAATATTATCATTATTCCCAAATGGGTTTGAACATTTTCCAACTTGTAGTTTGTGGTATAATAGTTAGATGCTTCACCGACACAAGCAGGAGACTTGAACTCAATTTCAGCACAGGGAAAAGTTTTATTGAGTACCGGTACCCGCATCTTCTTGTTGGGACGTTTTATCCGTCTCAGCCTGGTTTGGCCCTGACATGCAAGGTCAAAGCAGCCGGTCTCCAGAATGAACTAAATTAAAATTATAGTGTTGAGGGGGAACTAAAGCTTTAACAATTACAATTTTCTTTTTTATGCTTTTAGGAACAATATTTCACATCGGCATTTTGATGCATTTTAATCCGGTAATTTCCAAGATGGAAGAATGTAGGCCGATGCTCTGAACAATAGCCGAAAGGCAAAGTCAGAGAAAAACCAACATCTTTGTTGCAAGAAACCGAATGGACACAGGAACCAGCGTGTCTTTCCGAGCGCAAGAAAGCTTTTAGCCGCATAGAATGAGACAAATACACACAGAAGCCCACCATTTTTAGTGTCTTAATAAGCTTTCAAATTGTCTTCTATCTTCTCTAGTATTATAATGAAAGCCACGGTTTGAAGCATTCTGTTCTAAAGCTTTCCAGACCTGAGCTCGGCTAATCTTCCTGCAGTTGTTGACATTTAAAAAAAATGTTTCCGGCGTGTGTGACAGAATGACGAGGCTCCTTGTCGTTTCGGCAAGAAGAAATTAATGAATTTGATCAACGTGTAAGGAGGCTATTTAATCGAATACTCCTGTCAGCATGCTAGGATGTTGTGTACATCTCAGCTTGGGTTAACTGGCTCCCTATTATTATGTACCTTAAAGCTAAATCAATTAGGTCTTTGGGAGCACATAAAGTTGCATATTTCCTCAGGTGCTCCCCACCCTTCAATTTCCGGGTGGTTGAAACACAGCATTCGTTCCTCCCACATCCCCCCAACCCCCC